TGTATAGAAGTTAACTCTAGGCTGGGAAAATAGCTCAAAGAACTAGAGCTCATTCTTTGCTTTCCATGCTGGGTTCTATCCTGTTACTGCCTGGTCCCTAAGCACCTAGTCAAGACTGTTACCCAAGCACTACTAGACGTGTCCGAAAGCAGAAAAACAATTCCAGACTAATTTGAGACATAGAAATAAATGATAACAGTTCTTTTTCAGAAGGGAAGGGTGCCTCTTAAGGGAGCCTGAGTGTCTGCTCTTGGCCATAGCCTGCTGCAGTGGGCTAATGATTTAGTGCTTTGACGTGGTGATATGGTACCTGGAATTGAATGCAGGGGTTCTCTGATGCATTGCATAAACTCCAGCCCATGGAGCTATCTCCCCACCTCTAAAACAAAATGTTTAATTGAATAAAAAGAATAAAGAGAATTTCTTAAAAAGGAACAAAGTAACAACTAAGAATAGATATTAATGCAATAGAAAGGAAGCTTTTGTGTGATCATTTAGCAAATTTCCTGCAGAAGGACTTAAAGATATATTGTATGATTCCATTTATAATTAGCACAAAAATAAGAAATGAATCCAAAATTTGCATATGGTTACTTGGTACAGGGGATAGGACTGAATAATGACTAGCTAGTGAATGATGGTTGCAAGAGGACCTTCTAGATGCTGCAGTGTATATTGGTTCTGGACTCCTGGCTAACCTAGATCCTTTATGGTTTAATGAGAATAAAACTTGATTTATTATTTGCCATTTATATTTGTTTGCTGATCTGACAAAAAGGAACATAAATATTAGCACAGGTTAAGGCAATGACACCTAACTACTAGTAGTCATTGGATTCATTACTGCCATCTACCCTTTAGATTAAATATGTAAGATGCTAGTCATAAGAATATTAAGTATAGAAATAAAATGATATTGTGATGTTTGAGTACAGACCTTTTCAATACTTTTTTGGAGGGGTGGCATTTTAAGCTACACCCACTGGTGCTGGAGAGTCATCCCTTCCCACTGCCACTTCTTGTGGAATTTGAGACCGTGCTGTGCTGGGATCAAACGAGGGTCGGCTTCATATAACTCCTGTACTCTCTCTCTGAACCCAGGCCTTTTACATATTCCGTATAATAAATGAGAAGTATGTGTATAACTTTATACTAAATACCAAAGTTGGTCTTCCAAGAAAGCATGTATGTGATTCTTTGAATTGGATGTTTAAATAATTGTTTTATTAGTGGATCATTGTTTTTACTTAAAGGAACAGTTGATTAATTGTTTAGATTTGGGAATTTGGCAATTATTTTCTTGAAAATAATCATGGTGAGGGACCAGCCTGGGATTCATGCCTGTGGAGGTCCTGAGTTTGATTCCTGACAGCAGATGGTTCCCTGAGCATCACTGGAATGGTCCAGGTGATCTTCAGCGAAATTGCTGAACCCCAGCAATATACCAGACTGAGTATTGCTGGGACTGGCCTTGGGACTCAACTGAACACTGCTTGTGTTGTCACGCCCACCTCCCCCAAACAAACAAGAAAAATAGGAAAAGAACAAGTGAGTCTGTCATCTCAAGGGTAGCAGTTGACACTGTTGCTTGCCATTGATAAAATTTAAGCAAAAAAAATAGGTTCTGGAAAACATCCATTACAGTGATTCTGAGAGGATCTAATAGTCTAAGGAGATAATGGTGTAGACAAGTATGATATGTTCATTTTAAATCTCATAAAATTTATCAGTATTTGGAAACTATCCATAATTTCATGAACCAATATTTTTCATACTATAATTTGTTTCAAAACTCATTTGTGGAATGGCTGGAGAAATAATACAAGGGCCAAAGTGCTTGCCTTGCATGTAGCCCATCTGGGTTCAATCCTTGGCACCACTTGGTCTCTACTTTGATGTGAGTGGTAATCACATGGATATGTTCCTTTTGTTACAAACTATTTAATGGTGTACTTTCTATGTTTTCACTGAAATGCTTATTATCCTTCCAAATGAATTAAATAGAAGGAAGCACTTGTCCAGTATGATGGAATAGTATTTCTGACCTGAGTAATAGATAACTGATCAAGGACAGAAGGAGATATGCAGCCAAGAAAATGACCCATATGCTGTTATAACTTATTGATACTACATTTCGTGGCTCTTGATTACTCCTAGGATCCCATAGGTATTATTTATTTTGTGGTGATAGTGGGACAGTACTGAGAATTGAACCCAGGGTCTCTAGCAGTAGGCAGGTGTCGCATTCCTGGCTCTGCATTCATATCAAGTGGATGTATTTAATGGAAATTAACATTGAAGTTGTTTACCAGAAAATTTTTTTCCACAGGTTTATTTCCCCTCATATTTTTCAGTATTATCTTTCCTCCTTTTTTCCTAGAATCATAATTGTGCTTAGCTGATGTGAATGTGTGGTGGTTTGATTTGCCTTATGTATGCTTAGAAGCCTGTGCTTAGTCTTCTACATATTTGCCATCTCTGGGCCAGTGGCTTTGAGCATCGAGTAACCCTATTTTATGCATGGACATACATAGGATGGTGATAGCCCATTCAATTAATTCAGCAAACACAGTTTACTAGGTAGAAAACACAGTTGTTTGTGATTATTTGGAACTCAAGGAGCTTACCATTTATAAGTAGGAAAAAATGTTGATAAACATGAATTACAGGAGCTAGACAGTGGGTAAGCACTTGCCTTGCACCCAGCCGACCCAGGTTCGATCCATGGGACTCCATATGGTTCCCCAAGCCTACCAGGAGGGATCCTTGAGTGCTGAGTCAAGAAAGTCCTGAGCACAGCTGGGTATTACCCACCCCCACCCACTCTTAAACATTTTTGATTTAGAGGCCAGTGACAATTCAAGTGATAGAGCACATGCTTATCATGTGTGCGGCCCTGAACTGGATCCCAAGCATCTTATCACCTGAGAACCTCTTATGTGGCCCTGGTGTCTCTTGAGCATTACTGAGATGTCCTTCATGGACCTCTGAACGTCACACCATCAGGTGTGAAGTGTAGGATTGAACATCCCTGGAATGGTCCTACTCTGCCGGCCCAGCCCCACTAGATATGATCTCTGTAAATCAGACCAAAATGCAAATATACAGACCTGGAAGTGGGGACACAAGTTGGTAATAGCATTTGAATAGAACCTTGAGGAAAAATTAGGCTAGTTCCCTTTCTCTGCTCCCTTTTTCTTGCTCTCTCTGCCCCAACGCCCCCATATGTGCTTGGGGGAGCCATATGTGCCAGGAATTGTACTGTGTTGGCTGTATGCAAGAATCTTTTTTGCTATCTCTCCAGTCATAGGTTTTTTTTTTTTTGAGGGCTGGGAAGTGATTATGGGGGCTGGCTACATGCTCAGGGGACCATATTATTTTGGAGATTAAGCCCCAGAGTTCTGCATGTAGAGTGTGCTCTCCAGCCATTTGAATCATCTTCCTGACCCCTAGAGTTTTCTTTTTTTTTTTGATAAAAAAAAGGTAAAGGCCCTCCCGTTGATCGTCGATTTGCTCAAGCGGGCCCAGTAACGTCTCCATTGGAGACTTTGTTGTTACTGTGTCTGGCATATCGAATACTCTCGGTAGCTTGCCGGGCTCTCCGAGAGGGGCGGAGGAATCGAACTCGGGTCGGCCATGTTGGCCGCTTGTAAGGCGAACGCCCTACCGCTGTGCTATCGCTCCAACTTTTTGTTTCTATTTAAAAATTACAATGGTTATTATAAGGTATAGTATTATTAAAAATACCCAATCTCCTGCCTAGTAATAACTTGGTATATAGTTTCACATCTGATATACATAGATACATAGTAATGTTATTTTAAAATTTAGATCACACTTTTGTGATTTTGCAAATGCGTTGCATTTCCAGTTTCAGGCATTATAAGCACTTTGAAGCCTGTGATCTTTTCTTTGTGTTCTTTGGTGTTTAAGATTTTGATTGAAGTGAATGATAGCTTAATTTGAAGTTTGATTAGAAATAAATACATATTGTGGCTTTCTTCTTTAAGCCGACGTTCTTTCTTGAACATGTATCTCACTTCCTTGTCTCTGTCTTTTTGCTTGCTCTTTCAAGCTCGTATTCTCTCCTGAGCACATATTTCTTCCCTGCTCTCCCCTCACATCTTTGTAAGTAATTTTCATTCAATAAAAACTCTCTTGTGTCACTAAAAACCAAGTAAAAAAAGACACTGTAGGGGCTGGAGCGATAGTACAGTGGTAGGGCGTTTGCCTTGCACATGGCCAACCCAGGTTCGATTCCCAGCATTCCATATGGTTCCCCGAGCACTGCCAGGAGTAAATTCTGAGTGCAGAGCCAGGAGTAACCCTTGTGCATCACCAAGTATGATCTAAAAAGCAGCCAAAAAAAAAAAAAAGAAGACATTGTAGACTTAACAGTAAAATCTATATAGTCCCCTTTAACTAAATGTTAATTATAACTTGGTAGCAAGTTAAATTTAACTACCACTGGACAGGTACTCACACTTGACTTTAAATTTATCTTAATTTGAAAGTAAAGTACTGGTTAACAAGTAATTAATGATTAATAGTGTGGAGTTAGAGTGGGTAAGCAGCAAAAGGAAAGACCATTGATATGTTGTCTTCTGTCACATACTGTCCCCTTACTTATATTTTTTAAAGTAGCTTTAAAAATGATACTGCTCTTAGGTGCTGGAGTGATAGTATGCACTGGATAGGACTCTCTTACCTTGTAGACACCCAACCCAGGTTTGATCCCCGGCACCTCATACAGTCCCCTGATCCTCACCAGGAGTGATCCCTAAGCACAGAACAAAGAGTAAGCCCTGAACACCACCAGGTATGGCTAAACGACCACCCCCAAACCAAAAAGTACTCCTTAGAGGTGGTTCATGTGGCTCACTGAGAGGGGGTGGTTTGTGTTGTTCAGTGTTACACCTCCAATACTTGGTATCTGGCAACATGGGCCAGGGGTTAGGGGAGTGGGAACTTTCTTATTCAAATGTTACTTTCCATTCTAGGTAACATTGTACAACACTGATCAAGATGGTAGTGATAGCCCCCGAAGTAGCCTTAACAACAGTCTCTCAGACCAGAGTTTGGCATCTGTTAATTTGAACAGTGTTGGAAGTGTGCATAGTTATACACCGGTAAGTCTTGGTGAAGTGAGTTTACCTTTAGTGTTCAAAACTAAATGAAATGTAATTAAAATGCAAACGAAAAGTGGAAAATGTATTTCACCCATTAACTTAGATAAGTTGAACCGATTTCTGTTATTTTAATTGGGTGCTTATATTTTACCAAATTAGGTTCAAAATATATGATTAATTGTATCATGCTTTGTACTTCAGCTCTATTCTTTCTATGTCCAAATGAAAAGCGATTAGAATAGAAGAGGAAATATGCCTTTATTTAGCAGAGCTCAGTATTTGAGGATATTTATAGTCTTTGCTAAGGGAATTTAGAAGATGTGTGCCTTATTTTCCAGCTAGAGATCCTTAGAAAGGTATTCTTCTAGGGTTGCCTCAAGTACTCAGTTTTTGTCCTGTGTTACATTTTTCAGTTTTGGTTTTGGAAAACAAAGCTGTGCTATAAACCAGTGGTGATTTTGGCACCCATTAAAAGGACATGATTCTTGAATTATCTTATAATTCTTGTCTTGTTTTGTCTTGTCTTTTCAATAATTTACAAAGCTATTGATAATATAATTGTTTCAAGCATACAATTTTGCAACACCAATCCCACCACTAGTGCTCCTAGAGTCCCTCCCATCCCCTAGCCTGCCCCCGTGGCAGGCATATAACAAATTTATTTCAAGACACATTATACTTTGATAATTGTTTTCAAGTCAAATGGCACCTATTCTTCTCAATAGGAAACAGAGCCCAGGAGCCACATACACACCTTTCACTGGGATAAATTTTATCTTACTGGACCACTCTTTATTCTTGATGAGCAAATAGCTGAAATACTGCAAAAAAAGGGGGGGGGGCAAAGATATAGAGGGAGTGGTCAAGGTGACTGAGATAAGAAAATAATACAAGGGAAACTAGAGAGCAGAACTAAAATCAAAGTGAGAATTGGGGAAATACCTTGCATGGTAAGAGCCACACACCTACCACGTGTCTGGCTGAATTCAGTCACCAGCAGGTCTTCCCCCACCTCATCCCTTGGTCTGACCCTGCTGGCCACTGCACATTGAGGGTGACCCCTGTAGCACTGTCCTCCACTGTCATCGATTTGCTTGAGCGGGCCCCATTGTGAGACTTGTTGTTACTGTGTTTGGCATATTGAATACATCACGGGTAGCTTGCCAGGCTTTGCCGTGCGGGCAAGATACTCTCGGTAGCTTGCCGGACTCTCCAAGAGGGGCGGAGGAATAGAACCCGGCTTTGCCGGACCGGCCGTGCGCAAGGCGAATGCCCTACTGCTGTGCTATCGCTCCAGCCCTATACAAAAGAAATCTATGTATTAGACATTTGCTTTGGATGGGTACAAATCTGTGGATGGAGTATTTGCTTTGTATGCTGCCATTGTGAGTAGAACCCCAAACCCCATGTGGTCCCCTGAGCACTGCTGAGTATGGCCCCCAAACAGAAATAACAATAAAACAATGTTAAATTGAATGTAGAAAGAAAAAAGAACTGCGGAACTATTGCCATGCTCTGGAGCCTGGGATGGGGAATTAAATATTATCCCAGAATGTAGAAGAAACAGATAAAGAATAAAGTATGTTGTGTGAGAGGGATTGCTCAGTGGGCTGGTACATGTGCTTTGCACACGGGAGGCCCATAATTGATCTCAGCACTTCATGGTCCCCCAACAGCAGAAGCTACTCCCAAGCACTAAGTTGGGAGTAGTCTCGGGACCCCCAGGTTTCGCCCTTAACTTGTAATGTCGATACCTGTATCTGCATCTATATGCATGTAAAAGAAGACAGTATTTAAGGTGAAATTAAGAATTCTTTGTAATTTTTCAGAAACTAGAATAGTACCAAAGCATGTTTACGAAGAGTTTTAAGGGGTTACTGTTTCAAGAAAAATTGGGGTGGGGGGGCTTTCACTTTGATCTATATCAGGTTACATCACTAAATTTCAGGTTATCACTCATAAAAATACTGTAGCAGAGAAATAAGATACATCGAAAGGAATAGTTTTGAGGTTGTATAGTTTGGGGATTATAAATAAAATGTTAAGGTAAATTTTTATTCATCTGTGAAATTATACATACTCTTTGCTAAAGAGCTTAGAAAGCATTCTACACTTGTTTAAAGGTGCTTTTTCTGAAAAGAGAGAAATTACTTAAGACATAAATTAAAACAGTCATGTTATTTCTTCAGGGAGTAAAGTATGAAGTACCATGCTTCACTGGAAACAGGGAGTCAGATGAGAATTCCTTTGAGATAGAGGGGATGAAAAACTGCCCTGTGGCCACATACCACGAGGTAGGAATGTGAACTAGAAATGATAGGTGAGAGTTTGCTCCTTGTTGGTTTAACTTGTTGTATATCATGTTTCAAGACTGTCATTCTGTCAGTGAGACTGGAGCACCAGAATGTTTTCATTTCTGGTTGTGCTGCCTTTAAAGACCATTCTTATTTTCTTAGGTGTTTATGTTATATTTTTTATCCTGCATTTTTCAAGGGTGATTTATTGGTTTTCTCAGAAACTTATTTATCTTTTACCCCTCATTTCTCACTTCCCTTTAGTTTTATTTATAAAATCTATTAGAAATGAAAACTATGTGTAATAAAGCTCCTATAGCTTTAGACAATGTCATATAATCAGTCAACAGTACCAAGAGTATTTGTGTTTGGGGCAGGAATGATAGTACAGCAAGGTACTTGTCCTGCATGCAGCCAACCGGGCTCAATCCCTGGCACCCCAGATCGTCCCCCAGACCCTGTCAGGAATGATCCCTGAGTATCGCCAGGTATGGCCAAGGGGGAAAATGGAATATTTATATACCTATAGAGGAATTGAGGGCCAGAGAGATAGTACAGGGATTAAGACTTTTGCTTTGTACATAGTGCGCACTGGTTTGATTCCCAGACTGCAATAAGCCACTGCCAGAAGTACCTGAGCCAGGAATAAGCCTGAGCACTGCCAAGCGTGGCCCCTAAAACAGAACAAAAGAGTAATTGAACAAGTGATTTAGAAGAATTAGTTGCTTAGCAATATAGTAGTTTGAGATGAAATTGCTTCTGTACAAATCAAGAGGAAGATTCAGCAGGAACTGAAAGGGTGCTAGGTCTGACTCATTTATTTGTTTAATTTTGAGCAAGTCATTTAACGTCTTTCAACTTTTCTCCCCCTTGTCTGTGAAATGTAGAAGTTGGATTAGATTTCTATGGTTCCTTTAGACTCAAATGAACATTGCTGTCTATTTTGTGTACCCATCTTAAGAAAACAGTAGGAAAGCCAAAGGCAGGGATTGGAGTAAAAACTAATGGTGTTTTTACGTCCATATTTTCGGTAAAAAACCTATGTTGTTGTAAAGTTGCCAAGTTATTAACTTTTTTTTGATATTAGGTGACAAACCATCCAGAGCCAGTCTCTCAGACATTAACTTCTCAACAGCAGCCACAGTACAACCTTCCGGAACGAGACAAACAGCTACTTTTTTCAGAGTATAATTTTGATGATCTCAGTGCCTCATTTCGAAGCCTCTATAAATCAGTTTTTGAGCAGTCACTTAGTCAACAAGGTGAGTTTTTTAATGCTTCTCTTTTTGTAAAATTTTATTGAAAGCTTCAAAGAATTATTTCACACAGCAGCTGTTAAATTTCCTCATTGTTAGAGTATTATTATCCTGATCACAATTAGATATTTTTGTTACGCTCTTTGTTCCCTTTTATTCTGCAGTGAGTATATATTATAGCACCGAAATGACAGATAAATTTCATCCTGCATGTCTGCTTTACTTTACTTGATTAAAAGATAGGTATCGTAGAGCAGCGGAGTGAAGAATTTTGACTCTGCATCTGTGCCATGTGGAAATACTGCCATGGTTAATTAGTGATGTCAGGCATGTTAAGTGTTTGGTAAATGTTACACCACAAGAATAGATAAGCCCTGCTTTTCTCTTCTGACTAGTCCTGACAAAAAGGTAACTATTAGAATATGACAGCAGCAAATTTGCAACTTACTTCCCGCCTTGCGCGTTCCCCCCGCCCTTCCCCGATTTTTGAGTCACACCCAGAGGTGCTCAGGGGTTACTCCTGCCTTTGCACTCAAGGAATTACCCTTGGCCTTGCTGCTGGGCCTTGTGGAAGCCGGGAATTGAACCTGGGTTGGCTGTATGCAAGGCAAATGTCCTTCCAGCTGTACTATTTGCTTCGGCCCCAACTTTGCGACTTCTTCAAGTGAGCTTTTAATCTCATGTTCATCTCATGCACATTGGCGAATTGTCACTGTTTCACGAAATAACATTTAAATCAAATTTTAATATGAAAGGTGAGTTTGGTGGAGGTGTGGTATTAATTTCAGTCAAGCGCTAGATTTTTGTTGTGACAGGTTACTCTCCCATTAGCTGTTGGTTTAATTTTGTTCATGATAGAATCAAGATGTTGCATTGCCTTTCCTGCGTAGATCAGTATCAGAAATTATTGAGAACTCTACTAGTATTTTCTACTTATTTTGTTAGGTTATTTGTAGATTAGTTATTTATGCCCTAACTCAGAACTTTTATCTGTTCTTAGCAATAAACAGAACAGATATATATCCTTACCTTTGTGAGATTTACATCTTAATACTGATCATCCTCACATATTATGAATGTCAGTGTATTACATATGTTACATTGATGAGTATCAGCAGCTCAATATAGTAAGTTGCTTTTTCTGTTTAAACATTTATATGCCCTTTAATCATAAGCTTTCTATTTAAAGAATACAAAGAAGGTCTTATTTTTTTCTCAAAATAATTTGAAATTGAAAATTTAGACTATATCAGGGAGCCAGAGAGGGCTCAGGGCCTGGAGCACGTGCTTTGCAAACCCTAGCGTCCCTTTAAATGACTTTTCTAGTACGAAGGAAAAGAGCTTTTAACTGTTTTTCCTGTAAAACATTAACTTTGTAGGTTTTTTAATTTTAATTTGAAAAGAAAACATTTATTCAGATGATGTGACAACTGGGTCATAATTCTTAACCTGTCTTGATTCTTAACTTATCTTGGTGGAACACATAAAAGATGCCACAAAACGCAGCCTTCTTTGCAGCACTGCTTTCTCCCCACAGCTGGATAGCCCCAAAGTAACAATAATAAATACCTAAGTACAGCTTTTAAAATGTAAGGAGAAGCTGAAATAACAAAATAAAGCCTTGCTGTCTGTTTGGACATTTCATGTCCAAATTTCTGGTAGCTGTAATCAAAGCAAACTTTTTTTTTTTATTAGTGAATCACCATGGAGTAGTTACAGATTTAGAAATTTTCGTGCTTGCATTTCAGTCACACAATGATCGTGTATCCATCTCTCTACCAGTGCCCATTCTCCACCACCAATGATTCAAAGCAAACTTTTTTGAGTTATATGTACGTGTATACACACGCACACGCACGCGCGCACACACACACACACACACACACACACGAATACATCTTAAGATGTATTTAAATATAAAGCAACAAAAAGGGAGATTAACACCCAGGAATGGCTGAGATTAGTACCAGGAATTTTGCTCTATGAATGGAAGGCCAGCCACAGGCTCTAGGTGAAAAGGAAGCTCAGATAGAGAAGAGAGCACCAAATGAAGGGTGTTGTGAGGGCCCTCCCAGGGTGGGAGAAGCATGCTAAAAGTAGTCGATAGACCAAACATGATTGCCACTCAAAGCCTCTCTTGCAAAACACAGTACCCAAAAGAAGAGAGAGAGAACAAGGGGGAATACCCTGCCACAGAGGCAGGATGGGACGGGGCGGGGGGGATGAGGGTTGGGGGGGGGGGGGTTGCTGGGACCCGTGGGGATGGATGACGGGCACTGATGGAGGGATGGGCACTTGATCATTGTATAACTGAAACCCAAGCACAAAATTTGTAAGCCTATAACTGTACCTCATGGTTTTTCACTAATAAAAAAAGAAAAAAATTTTTAAAAAATTTTAAAAAAAAGATGTATTTAAATACAGTTCTACTAGTGTAAGATTTTAATTGATTGATACTATGCTATGGGTTTTTTTTTTTTTAACTTAGTACACTTTTTCTTGTGACTGATTCAACAAAATATTGTCTGAGCCATTCCTTTGTATCTGAAAATAGCCTGCTTATGCAGAACCAGATGTTGCAATAGATTATTAAAATGAGTTCGGCCTGCAAAGCAAATACATATTATTTTTAACATTAGGCACTTCTGGCCCAATCATCATAATAGCTAGCATTTCCTGAGCTTTTTAGCCTGCAGCCGGCATTTGCCCATGGCACTTACTCCTTACAACTCTGAAGGAGGTCCAGTCATCATACCCATTTACAGTTGAGGTAATTGTGGCTTGGAGAGGTTGATAACTTTTTGAAACTACCAAATATAAAAATGGCAGTGCAGAGGCTTCAATCTCTTACTCTCTGGTGCTATAGAGTATCTGATCTGAGCCCCCTAAACTTTATAAAGAATGGTCCATGGATGTTAGGTAAAAGACAGTGGGGATGACTTTTTCGCTTTTTGCTTGGTCTTAAAAGATCCTAGCAACTTAAGACAAAGCTTTTGGAGAAAACAAAGAGCGGGAGTAGCTGTGTAATTAATTATATCCTCTCTGTCAAATCTTTCTACAGAAAACGGTCTGAATTTAACCCACCATCTTCTCCACCTACCCCCTAACACTTACTTATTTTGGAAGACTACTCTCAGATACTGAATTCAAGGAAGTCTTCTCTGTCTCAAACCACTTCTTAGCTAACTGGGCTAAAGCAAAGATTCTGCATCCCTCTCTGTACTTTGATCTCAGTAGTTGTTACATTGTTTGGCAGACTTTCATTTTTTCAAGTTTTGTTTTAATTGAATCACTGAGATAGTCCCTTACAAAGCTGTTCATGATTAGGTTTCAGTCATTCAGTGTTCCAACACCCCTCCCTCCACCAGTGTACGTTTTCCAGCACCAGTGTTCCCAGTTTCTGCGTCAGTTTTTGACCATGAGCTGCTGCTTAGGGTGTGATGTTCTCTTTTCATTAATGCCTGAGCCCAGCATATGGTGGATGTTCCATCAGCACTTGCTAACTTCCTGCTTTTGCTATTTAAATAATTTTGCAAATGTTTAATTGAATGTTCTTGCTCTCTCTTTTTTCAGGCTTGATGAACATCCCTTCTGAACCTTCCCAGCAGTCCCACACTTCATGTTCCTATCAGCACTCACCTAGCAGTACAGTGAGCTCTCACCCACACAGCAACCAAAGCGGCCTGTCCAACAGCCATGGCAGCAGCCTCAGTACTACGGGCAGCAATTCAGTTGCACAGGTCTCGCTGCCCCACCCCCAGATGCACACTCAGCCGTCTCCACATCCACCCCATCGACCACATGGCTTACCACAGCATCCGCAGCGTCCCCAGCACCCCCAGCACCCAGCACCACATCCACAGCAGCACAGCCAGCTCCAGTCCCCTCACCCCCAGCATCCTTCTCCACATCAGCATATACAGCATCATCAGAACCATCAGCATCAGACGTTAACACATCAGGCACCCCCACCCCCACAACAGGTATCCTGTAATTCTGGTAAGTTTTTGTCTCCTGACTTGTATTTAACGAAGTATAAATTAGAATCTGTGCTTTGTTAATTGGGAAGTGCGCGCATGTGCGTGTTTGGGGTGTGTGTGTGTGTGTGTGTGTCTGTGTGTGTGTGTGTGTGTCCCGAAAGCCTTGTCTTTTTTGCTTGCTACAATCCTAGAGTTGTAATTAATTCAATCCATAGATTGACCTGGAGATTTTTTTGATTAAAAATTATTGTGGTAATAGAAGGAAGGCAGCAATCATTGTCAGTTTGAGGTTTTATTGTTTTGTCCTTTTGTAACTTAATTTGTGACCATTTGAAAGGTTCATTCTGTATATAATCTAGTGATTCAGTGTACATTACAGAATGAGCATAGATTATGTTAAAAAGATGTGTTTGAATTTTCATTATGACTCAGGATCTTTGGTGTGTTGTTTTCTCACATATAAAGATAGAACTAAAATATTCCGGTATACATTATTGCTATCAGGCTTATATTAAGAATCGCTCTTTATCACTGTCCTCCCATTGTTCATCGATCTGCTCGAGCGGGCCCAGCAACGTCTCCATTTTGAGACTTCTTGTTACTGTGTTTGGCATATCGAATACGTCAGGGGGAGCTTGCCAGGCTTTGCCGCGCGGGCGAGATACTCTTGGTAGCTTCCCAGGCTTTCCGAGAGGGGCGGAAGAATCAAACCCAGCTTGGCCGGGCTGGCTGAGTGCAAGGCAAATGCCCCACCGCTGTGCTATCGCTCCAGCCCATATTAAGAATACATACATGAAATGCCTGGCCTAGTAACTTCCATTTAGTATTCAGTGGATTTCAACAATTTTTCCTTTCCTTGCATATTCCTAACAAGTATCTCATCTTGGAATGATAGATTGCAAAGAAAGGAAATGATTTCTATGAGATGTTCAACTTCATTGCTCATAGACATGGGTGTGTTTGCACTGCAGGACTCTAGGGTATATATAATAGACCTTGATTTTAAGTGGACAAGCCTCTTGGAGTTGAACAGAATGGGTCCATTCCTCAGCTTGCCTGATTGGCCAAATAAAATTTTTATTCTGAATAATGGTTTCTAAATGCTTGGTGGTGCTAGTGCATATTTACCAATTAAAAAACTTGAACGTTGTTTAGGCAGTTGAATTCTCAGGAGAATGAGCTTCTTGTTATAAATCTTAAATTTCTCTGAAAGTATTGCCCTTTTTACAGAGCACAAACGTAATTTTTTTGGGGTGGGGGGCAGAGAGATAGTACAGTAGGCAGGGCACTTGCCTTTGGCTGACCTGGTTCAATTCCTGGCACTCATATAGTCTCCCAAGCCCTTCCGGGAATGATCCCTGAACACAGATCTAGGAGGAAGCCCTGAATAATGCTGGGTGTAGCCCCAAAACACAAAAAGTAATGTTGATTTTAGAGAATCAAATGAGATCAGATTAAAAAATACAGAGTTAGGATACTTAGGTATCCTTTCAAGTTCTTAGGATACTTAGAACTTGAAACTTAGTTCTTAATAGATATTAATGTCACACACCTTTCCTGCCCTTGTTACCGAAGAAGATAACTGGAACCTTAAAATTTGAAATTCGGGCCAGAGAGATAGTACAGAAGTTAAAGTGCGTGGTTTGCATGCTGCTGACCCTAGTTTGAGACTGACCATGGCACACAGTTTCCCTGACCTTAAGGTCACAATAAAGAATGGGGCCTTGAGCCCTTCAGCATAGCTAGGTGTGACCCAAAAACTTCTTAAAAAAAAATCTAAAATTAAAACTGTCTTGTATGTTTTACAAATACAATAAGTATAGCTAATACATATTTTAAAAATTGAACATTTTAATTTTTTTTAATAATTGATTTTCTTTTTCCTGTCACAAATTCTTAATTTGGTTTTAGAATAAAATTGAAATTTTGGTATAGTTCCTCCCTTAAGGATTATCTCCAAATATAGCTTGAAATGACTTGTAGTTCTAATGTTAGAAAAAAATTATTTTACATAATAACAGCCCTTTTTGGTAATGTTTGCTGTCACTGTTTCCTTTTATTTATTTTGGGGGCTACTCTAGACAGTAATTGAAACCATGCATATGATACCAGGGTCAAATCTGAGACTTCCACATGCAAAGTATGTGCTTTAACCCTTTGACCTATTCCCAGCCCACTGTTTTTTTTTTTTTTTTTTTTTTTTTTTTGCTTTTTGGGTCACACCCGGCGATGCTCAGGAGTTACTCCTGGCTCATGCATTCAGGAATTACTCCTGGCGGTGCTCGGGGGACCATATGGGATGCTGGGAATCGAACCTGGGTCGGCCATGTTGGCTGCGTGCAAGGCAAACGCCCTACCCGCTGTGCTATCACTCCAGCCCCCACTGTTTCCTTTTAATATCATTTTTTCCTTCAGAAATTTACATTTATTCTTGAGATGATTTTGAAGATTCATCAGCAGTTGCATAGATTGAGTTTCAGTACACAGATCAAAATCTGTAATCCTTTGGTCACTTTTGCCCTCTATTAAGTGGAATCATCATTGGGATTTTGGTTTGATTGCAATTGAAAGCAATCCACTATGGACTCTTAGTTACCCTGTTAACCAAAGGGAGTTCAGAAAAAAACTATTCTGCTGTGGTAATTTTTTATAGGACTGAACAGTTTGTCTTTGGCAAAAAAAACAATGAAGGAACACTGTCCTCCCATTGTTAATCGATTTGCTCGAGCGGGCACCAGTAACATCTCCCTTGTGAGACTTGTTGTTACTGTTTTTGGCATATTGAATATATCATGGGTAGCTTGCCAGGCTTTGCCATGCGGGCGAGATACTCTCAGTAGCTTGCCGGGCTCTCCGAGAGGGGTAGAGGAATCGAACCCGGGTTGGCTGCATGCAAGGCAAACGCCCTACCTGCTGTGCTATAGCTCCAGCGATAGTATCCCTTATATGCTAGGAAATTAAAATAATTATTTTTATGATCAAATGCAAATTAGATTTTATCATTAAAAAAACTCAAGGAAATTAAATAATTTACTCATGAGCTTAACAAGTGATAGAATAAGTGATAAAAGTGGAATTCTTTACCTGTCAAACTTCAAAGGCTGTAACATTAATTACTCTAAAAAGACGAAAGCCTGGTGTTGTATTGATTCTATAGCAAGTAGGACACTTACCTTGTAAGGAGGCCAACCCTGGTTTGATCCCAGGCATCCCATATGGTCCCCTGAGCGCACTAGGAATGATTCCTGAATGCAGAGCCAGGAGTAACCCATAAGCACCACTAGATTTGTCCCCAAAACAAAACCAAAAAAAGACTAAAACCTGCAAACATATACTGAGTGGGTAGGTACTTTCTCTGCAAAAATTACTTTGTGTTGTCAGACATTTGTAAAAACTCATTTACTTGAAGAATCTCAAACTGATAGGATTAAACATAACTAATTTGGGGTATTTTCTTAACAAATTTCTCCATAAATGATGAGTTAGTTACCTGAGGACAGGGTCATTATATCTGATTCTTTTTTTTTTTAATTTTAAAAAATGTATAATTAAAGAGCTTTATAAATCAGGTATCCAGTAATTGATATAGCTGTGCTGTAGCAAAAAAGTTCTTTGAACCATCAGTTCATAGTTTTCTGAAGACAGTATATTGGGTAGCAAATAACTGGGAGGAGATTTTGTTCCTCTGTTTAACTATCTCATTGAATGTGGCTCTGCCCCATACCCTTTGAGGTGGTGAACATTTTGCTGGCAAACAGGCTGTGAACTCCTCACTCTCCTGTTGATATTATATCACAGAATATGGTTTCTTACTAAAAAAAATTCCCTATATAAATTCTTAAGCATTTTGTTTTATTTTGGTTTTGGGGGCCACACAGCAGTGCTTGGAGATTACTCCTGGTAGGGCTTGGGGAACCTCCTGGGGCTCTGGACATCAAATTTACGTCAGCTTCTATGCACGGCAAGTGCCCTGACTGCTGTGCTATTACTCTGGTCCCCACATCAGAATTTCTTAGAGGCTGCCTGTCTTAGAAGAGCTCCGCTTTAAGGCAGTTCTCCTAATAGTGCTTTGACAGAATCACTTCTGTCTCTACAATCTCATTTACCTTAAGTCAGTGCTTTACATTGGTGTTGGTGTTGCTTCAAAAGTGAACCAGTTTCGAAGTTAGAAGTAGTATATTTTTGTTAAGGTCACAGGACAGGAAAACAAACTTTATGGGTTCTAACTGGTCATTCATTTCTACGGCACAAGTGTATAAAAAGCAGTTACCAGGCTTGGTATTACAAAGTGACGTAACGGTTTTTAGCTTGCCAGACTAGAGTTTTGAAGCCCTAGGTTCAAGTCTGTTCTTCAGTGTGACCTCACTAAGTTCTGTGGTTTCACTTTAATTTGTAAAGTGAGAAGGAATAATACACTTCGTACCTGTCTCACCCAGCACATTGCCCTGATACAGGATGTAAATCTAGTAAACTAGATAGGGAGTTGCCAATCAGACCAGTTCAGTGCCTGCCTTTACTATGTACCTCGAGCTTTCACTAAAATTTATACTCTTCTCAATGTTTTATAGGTGTTTCAAATGATTGGTATGCAACGCTTGATATGCTAAAAGAAAACTGTCGAATTGCAACCAGTGTTAATTGGTCAGATGTAGACCTTTCACAGTTCCAAGGTGAGTATTGATTCCTTTAGATGTAGAGCCAAATGTACATGATTCTTAATTTCCCAATTGCATTGCACTTTTTTTAGTAGAAATAAACATTCCCTTATATAGTGTTTCTTTTGCAATTAGTTGTATACTAAAAAAATACTTAGTTTAATTTAAGGATGTCAGCTATAATTTTTTAAAGTTACATTGTAGACTGGGCTGGAGGGCATTTGCCTTGCGTGTGGCCCATGCGGCTGACCTGAGTTCAATTCCTCCACCCCTCTCAGAGCTCAGCAAGCTACCGAGAGTATCTCGCCCGCATGGCAAAGCCTGGCAAGCTCCCCGTGACGTATTTATTCAATATGTCAAACACAGTAACAGCAAGTCTCATGATGGAGACGTTACTGGGCCCGCTTGAGAAAATTGATGAACAAGGGGCGGGCGGACAGTGCTACATTGTAGACTGGGGAGAGATTGGGAGTCAAGGCACTTGCCTTTCATGTGAAGAGTTTTGAATTCAGTCCCTGGTACTGTGTGGCACCTCCTGCACACCACCTTGTATGACTCCAGCACTGCTGGGCCCAACCAAGCAGCATCACCTCACCATGCCCTGGCAGGGAGCAGTCTGGTGTGCTTTGACTAGATGGCCATTAAGCACTATGTAGGAGGCACAAATCTCCCAGTGTTAGATTTTGTTGAATGGGCAAATCACGGCAAGTGGCAATTTTGAGAACTGAAAAAAAGAATCATCTTATTTCCTTGTAGTGTCTTCAGAACTATGCTAACTTCATTTCTAATGCTTTCCTCAGGTTTGATGGAGAGTATGAGACAAGCAGATCTCAAGAACTGGTCTTTAGATCAGGTTCAATTTGCTGATCTCTGTTCTTCACTTAATCAATTCTTTGCACAAACTGGCCTTATCCACTCACAGAGTAATGTTCAACAAAATGTTTGTCACAGTGCCATCCATCCAACAAAACCTTCCCAACACATTGGAGCAGGTATGGTTAGACTTTATTATATTTTTGTTTTCTCTTTTCTCATTCCTGTGAAATTCTGTAACTGAGACAGCTAGAATGCTTTACCTTCAGCATGCATCTCCCATCCTGGGCGGATCTTCCCAACACCCTTTATTTGGTGCTCCCTTCTCTATCTGAGCTGCCTCTACCCCTAGAGTAAAGTGCGGCTGGCCTCCAAGCCATGGAGTAAACCTCCTGGTATTTATCTCAGCTATTAGTGGGTGTTAGTCTCCTATTTTGTTACTTTATGTTCCCCAGATAAATGCAGTCTTTCTGTGTCTGTCCCTCTCTTTCTGACTCATTTCACTTAGCATGATACTTTCCATGTAGTACCACTTGAATGTAAGTTTCATGACTTCATCCTTTCTAACAGCTATATAGTACTCCATTGTGTATATGTACCAAAGTTTCTTAAACCAGTCATCTGTTCTTGGGCACTCAGGTTTTTTCCACCTGGCTATTGTAAACAGTGCTGCAATGAACAAACAAGTGCAGATGTCACTTCGACTATACTTTTTTGCCCCTCTGGGATATATTCCCAGGAGTGGTATTGCTGGGTCAAATGGAGCTCAATTTCTAACTTTTTGAGAATCGTCCATACTGTTTTCCAGAAGGGACCAGTCGGCATTCCCACCAAGAGTTAAGGAGGGTCCCTTTCTCACGACATCTGCACCAACACTGGTTGCTTTTGTTCTTTTGGATGTAGGCCAGTCTCTGTGGTGTGAAATGATATCTCATTGTGGTTTTGATCTGCATCTCCCTGATGTAGAGCATTTTCTCATGTGCCTTTTAGCCATTCGGATTTCTTTTTTGAGAAAATTTCTGTTCATTTCGTCACCCCATTTTTTGATGGGGTTGGATGTTTTCTTCTTGTGGAGTTCAACCACTACTTTGTATATCCTTGATATCAACCTCTTATCGGATGTGTGTTCGACAAATATCCTTTCCCATTCTGTAGACTGTCTTTGTATTTTGGTCACTGTTTCTTTGGAGGTGCAGAAGCTTCTTAGCTTAAGATAGTCCCATTTGTCTATCTCAGTTTTCACTTGCTTGGCCAGTGGCGTGACGTCTTTGAAGATACCATTAGCTTCAATGTCATGGAGGGTTTTGCCAACTTTGTCTTCAATGTACCTTATGGATTCCGGTCTGATGTTGAGGTCTTTAATCCATTTTGATCTTACTTTTGTACTTTGTGTTAGGGACAGATCTGAGCCCACTTTTTTGCATGTAGCCGTCCAGTTTTGCCAGCACAATTTGTTAAAGAGGCTTTCCTTGTTCCACTTCACTTTTCTTGCCCCCTTATCAAAGATTAGATGACCATATTCGTGGGGGAAGATGTCAGTATATTCAACCCTGTTCCATTGGTCTGTAGCTCTGTCTTTGTTCCAGTACCATGCTGTTTTAATTATTACTGCTTTGTAGTAGAGTTTGAAGTTAGGGAGGTTGATTCCTCCCATTTTCTTTTTCCCAAGAATTGCTTTAGCTATTCGTGGGGGCTTATTGTTCCATATAAATTTCAGGAGTCTTTGCACCATTTCTTTGAAGAATGTCATGAGTATCATAATAGGGATCACATTGAATTTATAAGCTTTATCCAAGTTGTTTTCTCTTCATTTTAATTATCTTTTCTCCACCTTCCATTTGTATTTGTTGGATTGCGGATGTGCTAGGTTGTGGTACTTGCCAGGGCGAAGTTCTTGGGTTAAAGTGCTCACACTCGCCTCTTTGGGGGAATTGTTAGATGAGGGAGTTCAGAAGTAGAAGAAAGTGTGGGTTAGTCTTTAAAAAGTTACAAAGGCCCTTTCAGCCCAAGGTGTGGCTGCTTGGTAGTAGAGTGTCTGCCTCACACATGTAAGGCACAGGTTCAGTCCTTGCACTACACAAAATTGAGTAAGTACCTCGTCTGACTTATTTGTAGAAATTATGGGTTTTCTTTTCTTTTCCGTTTCCCCTGCCCTGCCCCTGTTTTCGGAGCATACCTGCCGGTGCTGTGAGACTACTCCTGTCTCAATTAGAGCTTGACAGTCAAGCCTGGCCATGCTTGAACCTGGAGCCGTCTCACCTGCCCTGTGTTATTTTGGGGTGGTTGGGACGGCGGGTGCCCTATATAGTTAGTGGTGATAGATCTGGCATTCACTGCAATGCGAAGCAAACACTTTAACCCCATACTGTCTCTTTGGCCCTGGCTCTTGCTTCTGTATCGTGCTTTTTGGTGCTGGTATTCTCTTCTTCATCCCCAAAGCTTCTTAGGTTTCAGTGTTACTTTATTCACCTCCTTCTAAAGGCAGGAGAACTAGTTTTTCCTCAGTATTCATTTCTCTCCCAACACTCTCTTTCCCCTTCTGAATCAACAGAATTTCAACCAGTCCTGGCCTGCTGGCCTGTTAACCCTTTCTCTGATCAGTTTTTAAAGTTAGAACCTCTTCTTGTCAGCCTTCTATTCTCTTTGTATCACTCTGTATAAACTCCCTTCTGATATCTCATTCCCTCATCTCTTGTTCTTATAATTCTTAGTCACATTTTCTTAGAAATACAGTACAGGAAGGGATTTCAACAGGGCTGGAGAGAGTTCAGAGGTTAAGGTGTTTGTCTTGCATGTGGCTGACCCCGATTCAATCCCTGGCATCATATATATATGGCCCCCTGCGCACAGGACCAGGAGTAAACTCAGCACTGCTGGGTGTCTCTCCCACCTCCATCCCCCTCCCCCGCCAGAAATTAAGCTACTTCAAAAAACTGTTCATTTTATCTTTTTAAAATTGTGATCCAAAGAGAAAAAGTGACTTTAAAATACAAAGTTTATTTTGGTCTTAGTTCCAAAATGTAGCCTCTCTAGATTCTTCAGACTTCCCTGATGCCACATCTGTCGTCTGGACACCTTGACCACATACTGTCTCTTTGGCCCTCGTAACCAGAATTTTTGCATGAAAATAGAAGTGCTAAACAGTTGGCCAAATATCAGGAAGTTTAGGCTGTTAGTGTGGGTGTCTGTTTATTTCCGTAATACTCTAATTCTCATCTCTTTACCTTTTAAAGAATGATTAAGCCAGAAAGGAGAAATGAAAAAATACAAATCCAGATTAATCTCCAGTAAGATTTAGTATTTGCCTTTTAATTGTTACTTACGCGCTTAAGGATGAGTAGAAAGAAAGTTACACTTTCGCTAGATGAAGAGAGGAAAGTTGATCAATGAGTGCCCATATCACGAAGTGATGTGTTCCCTCCAGCTGGGTGCAGACTTTAGAAGCTGCACCAGCCTCGAAGGTGAAAACTGACCAATATTGGGAAGGGTACGAAGTAGAAAAGAAAACTGACCAGCACTTCAGTACCTGGAGATAGGATTTTCACTCTCCAATAATATGCTTAAAAGAGAATGGGGAGATAGCTCAAAGGGCTGAAGTACAGTATGCGTGCTTTGCATGCTGGAAGCCCGGGTTTGGTCCCTGATACTGCCTGGTTCCCTGAGCATTCTCAGGTGTCGCTAAAGTACCACTTGCGCCCCCTCCCCCGTCCCACACCCCCCCCCCCCCCCCCCCCAAAAAAAAAGAATATGCGAGAGCTGTAGTTTAGTATAACTTTCCTTCCTGAATCACCAAGATAAATTGGTCGAAGAGCTCAGTTCTGGCTGAAATCTTTACTATAAAAAAGACATGTCAGCATATCTTGAAAAGCAATAAGTGGCTGGGGGTCAGAAACCCTGGATTCCATTCATAGTTGTGTGTCATTTCTTCAACATCTAAATGAACTGAGGTCGAGCTGATTGAATTATCTGTAGTGGATCGAACGCTTGCCTTAAACACAGCTGATGTAGGTTGGAATCCCGGCACCTCGTATTGCCCCCCAAGTCTACTAGGAATGGTTCCTACATGCAGAACCAGGACACGTGACCCCAAAACAAACCCTATAAAGTTACCTTACTTCATCTCAAACATGGGCAGTCTGACCTTACAGTTGCAGTGCTAACACGAGAGCAGCCAGTTACACTGTGCCGTATCTTTACCACAAAAAGATTTCTCTTCCCTTTTGGTTCTTCTTGGAATGTAGACACGGTCTTCTAGTTGATTATGCCACTGATAGAATGCCAATGTAATTTGTGTGAAGTACCTTAGGGAAATAGGCTTTTCTGAACTCCAGATATTTTGTATAGTGTAAGCCTGAGGAGTCTCTGTGCGAGGGCATATGATGTTGTCCTCCCTTTTCCGTGTTAGGAGGCAACAGAATTGACCTAATTTGAGAGATTATGATGCTGATTCCTATTTTCAAATTACTGTGAAGGGGTGGGAGCAGTAGTACAAGCAGGTAGAATGCTTGCCTTGCACGCCCCTGACCTGGCTTCAACTCCTGGCAGCCCATATGGTACCCCAAACTGTCAGGAATGAGCCCTGACACCACTGGGTGTAGCCCAAATTACAAAAGAAAAGTAATAATGGTATTAACTTAGGAACTTTTGAAAATTCCATTCTAATGAAATCTACACATCATAGCACCACACTTCTAAGCAATACATTTTTAATTATCTCTGCTTGGTTGATACAGCTCTGTTACCCCGTGCAAATCTTTCCTATCACTTTGTGCCTCCAGTTATTTCAGAACCTGCCAAGGCCGGCATGGTTGGGTCTGTTGGGAGGGTACGGGAATGAGGGCAGGAGAGAGAGGAGACAGGACATGGCAGAAAGAATTCTTACGTTCGGAGAACTGGATTCTAGGTCCAGCCCTGTGAAGCTATGTTTCTTTGGGCAAATCATGAAGCCTCTTTTGTTTTGGGGGGCCACATCCAGTTGCTCTCAGGGCTTATTCCTGGCACAGTGCTCAGGCACCACGTGGCGTTCTGGGGAACAAAGCCTAGGTCGGCTGCGTGCACGGCGAGTGCTTTAGCCACTGTACTTTCTCTCCGGCTCCTTTTTAGCCCATCTTAGCCTTTGTTTGCGTCATCTCTAAAATGGGGATGATCCTTCTTTTGCCTTCTTTGTGGACTTAGAGCTTCAAGTGAAGTAATGGATAAAAATGCTTTCAAAATGTCATGAGATGGAATGACAGACGTAACTTGCCTGTGAGTTCCTGGAGAGTTGAAGGCAGCACCACAACTAGATCCAGTGGCCTCCCACTCGAGTGACATCCTGCTTAAAAGCCAGCACCACCTTCAGGCAGAGGTTTAACATCGAAATGGACGTATTTTTCCTTCCCTTCTTTCCTCAGCTTCTCTGCTTAATTTTAGATAACACTTCTAATACAGTTTAGTACATGATATATTTTACTAATGGTGACATGTTCTTTCTGCTTTTCAATCTGTCTAGGAAATTTGTATATGGACTCCAGGCAAAATCTTCCTCCTTCAGTGATGCCACCCCCTGGTTATCCTCATATTCCACAGGCACTCAGCACTCCGGGAACAACAATTGCAGGTAATTTGAGGGTGTGTGTTGTTTCTTCAGGCATCTAAGACTTCATTGTTACTTGATTGTTCGGGGGCCACACCAAAGCCGGGCTCAGGCACTGTTACTGCTCTGTACTAGGGGATCACTCCCCGCAGTGCTCAGGGGACCATGTGTTGCCAGCGACCAAAGTATATACTCCGTTTGTTGTGTGAGCCCAGCCCGTTTTGTTCTCTCCAGCCAGCCCTGGTAGTTAGGTTTGCTGGATTTTTGTTTTGTTTTTGTTTTTGTGGGCCACACCTAGCCGTGCTAAGGCTTACTCTTGGCTCAGTGTTCAGGATCGCTCCTGGCCATTTGCAGGGACCGTATGTTATACCAAGCATCAAACTTGGGCTGCATGAAAGGCAAGTGTCTTTCCTGCTGCACGATCTCTCTGGCCCATATTTAAGAGTTTGTTATTGAAAAGCATTTGCTGTCTAATAGTAAGCACGTCTGCCTCGGGATAGAGTGAACTTGTTAAGGAGATGAGGAGAGCAAAATCTAAAGATAAACTACTTGTTTCCAGATCTGTTGAATATATTCAAGTATTTTTTGGTGTTTGAACCACATAACTTGAAGTGTATTTTTGCCCATGATGCTGTGAACTTGATCTGCTTCTTAGGGGTCAAAATGCCTAAGGTTTGTTCTGGTACCTTAAATTGAGACTGTTTAATTTGGATGGGATTTCAGCAGATGTGTTGAACCTACTTTGATTAATTCCTCTATAGTCTGCTCCGTTCCCTCTCCCCAGCTAAAATGTACTGAAACGTGCCTTAGTGAGGAGGTAAATTTCAGGAATACTTCTTTATAATTTTCCCCTCATAGGTTTCTGAATGTGGGATGTTTAACAGGGCAGTAGAACAAGTCAAGGTGGAAGGGATCTGAAAGATTATCTAGATGAGGAAGCACAGAGGCTTAAAAAGGAGAATAACTTGCGTAGACCATTCAGTTTCTTAAGAGGCCAAACTAAGATTAATTGCAGCCTTTGATCTCTTTCGAGATTTATTCATGGGTCTCTGAAGCAAGGCCGTGATAGAGCTTACATAGTAGTGCTGGAGTTAGTTCGTGAAGGTGACTGCCAGTGCACCCATGAGTACTGGGAAGTGTGGGGAGGAAGCATGGAGATTTCAGTCACAAAACCTTCACACCAGAATTTTCATCAGATTAAATCTTGGTGAGATCCGTCCTGAGAAAGTGGAGTCCTGTGTCCTGAGAAAGGGGTATGGTGGCGATTTTGGATTGTGGAAGCAAGTGGCTGCTGGGGCCCCTGCTTGGGCGAGCCATGAGGCCAACCTGCCCCCCTCCAGTTTACCCCGGTCTGTTCAACCATGTTTGGGGCCAAGATTAACTGTGGCTTTTGATCTCCACGAGTCTCTAAAATAAAGACCAGTAAATGAGCTTGTATAGCCGAACCAAAGGTGGTTTGTGGGCATGGCTTTCACATACCTAAAAACTTTTTTTTTTTTCCACATACCTAACTTTTGACCATTCAATTTCTTGGTAAACTTGGTCCTAAGTTTTTGGGGCTCTGGCCAAAGGCACAGTGGCAATTTTGGGGTATCAGGAAGCCTGAAGGCATCATCAGGCTGCTGATGCGCTCGCCTCACAGATACAGGTTGGCCTGCTGGCGGCCCTTTACTCCAGAATATTACTTTTAAAACCAAAAAACAAACACCAGAATCACGCTTGTCAAAGTTCTGGAGGCAGAAAACCCCGGAAGTGGGGAGCACCAGCAGCTCCACTTCCCACAGTTCCTGTGCGGCTCTGTTCTCTGGGGACCTGCCCTTGACCTGGTGGCACAGCATTGCAGTGGCTAAGGGAAATTCACTGTGTGTGGCTTCAGTAGTGCGCAGGTATCGTTCTTAAAAAACTCCCATGTGATCCACTTCTTGCTATTGAACTAGACTGAAGCAAAGTGGAATGTAGTTGGAAAGGTTGTGTAAGTACTTGGGCACTTGAGCACTCTTTTTTTCTTTATTTTTTTTTTTTTTAAGGTAGGGCAACGTGTCTGTTGATGAGGGCGCCACACTTGGCAGTGCGGGAGACCAGCACAGTGCCGGGGATCAAACTCAAGATTTTGCTTGTGCCACGTCCGGTTCATTTTTTTCCCCTTACTAGTTTACATATGGTTGTGTGATTTCAGTAACCTGCTCATCCTCTTTTCTCGGGCCCCCTGTCCTATAAAATGAGAGTCACAGGAGCCATCTGGTTGAATGCTTCTTGCTCAGTTAGTGAGGTCATGGCTGCTGGGTGCATGGCACACAGGAAGTACTCGGCAGCCACTGCCTCCTTTCTTCTGTCCTTCCCTACCCAAGGCACTACAGATGTTGCCTCCTCTCTTCCAGGTCATCACGGAGCCATGAATCAGCAGCACATGATGCCTTCCCAAGCCTTCCAGATGCGACGCTCGCTGCCTCCAGATGACATCCAGGATGACTTTGATTGGGATTCAATTGTGTAGAGCTTCTATCTCAAAGGCACCAGACCCCATAGTCACCTTTCTGTGCAGTTGAAGGGAAAAATTTTCGGAGAATCCAGTTGAAAAAAAGAAAGTTACTAATCACTTTACCAATGTTATCAAATTTACTTTTGAAGACAATCAAAAAAGATGCTGGCTGGATAACTTACTGCTTTTATCTGACCCAAACAAGTACTCCATGTTTGTCTCCCTGCAGCTGCCCTATGTAGCTCCTAACTGTTGTGTGATTTGACGGCTTTTGCATATTCGTGTCAGTTTGATGTTGACCACAAGTGCCAGACTGATTTTCAGACAGAGCCTATTTTGCTGCAAGCAGTTTATAGATAACAGATTTGTAAATACATGTATAAAAATTACTGGAAGGTCTCAATTTTTCTAATTGGGTTATTACGTCTTGAAAAGAAAGTTACTATGTTTTTATTCCTCCTTAGGCTATTTTCTGCAGGATGCTTTCAACAATTGTAGGCAATTAAAAGAAAATAGATTTTTTTTTTCCAAATTCCAGTTCCCCTCATTTAATCTTTTCAGAAGTGTGGATGATGAGTTCTCTCACTCAGGATGTTTAAGAATCCAGAGTGTGGTACAGTCAGGAGGGGTGTATTATTTCTGCCTATGAAGCAGCATAAAGAACTGATAAAAACATTTTGGTGCTTGGGGAACTATAGAGGTTTATGTTGTATCTTATCTGTGTCTGTTTTCTTAAACCCGCATGATAATAAGTCTAAAATGTAATTGATTGATTAGAAGCTGGACATCGCTTAGGTCTTTAGTTCACAAGTCAGTGCTTCCACATTCACTTATATATTTACTATCCAAAAGTGTTATTTTAATATTTATTGCTACCTTTTGCGAATGCTCAGCTTCTGTTGGGTTTATTAAGGAGAAATGCAGTGTCTGAAAACCTGAAGTTCTTTTTCTTGGTAAGCGTTTACAGACAAGACAATCAGAGAGAGATTGTGTCATTCCCTTTATCTCACTCCTTTTTTACCATGTGAATATTTCTCTATCTTGGCATTCCTACTGGTTGAAAACTTATTAGCTAAGGAGGATTTTTTCTGGAATTTGAATCAGACTTCATTTGGGCAACAGAATAGCAGGCAGGGATTAAAAGTAAGTTTTCTTGCTCGTTCTCTATTCACAGAGCCCTGAAAAGAGGGTAGAGGCCCATGTAGCTTCTCTTGGCTTCAGTTCTTGGTGGCGACTCTTGTCAGTGGCCAGCTGTTTCTGCTGTCCTGTGTCTGTGTACGCACGGTGCTTGGCTGCATTCTTTGAAATGCAGCCTGCTCTTAGGTTTTGTTGTTTTGTTTTACTCTGTATTATGGTTATTTTGCATGGATTGTCTTTTATTAAAAAAGTGAAAAGTCATGTTTAATAGATTTTTAATTGGGTAAGCCAAAAAAGGGCAAAATTTCTGTTCTGATAGGGAAATGATGTATTCCATCAAATCAGCACCCCACCGGTTGCTTTTTTAAAGATCTCTACCATGCTTAAATTACTTTAATTAGCCTGAGTGATTCTGTGGTTGAGAATACTCTACTTGAACTAAACAGACAACTTTGTTTCTTTGTGTATGTATGAGAGTGTGTTGGTGAATGTGTGTGGGTATTTTTAATGAAGTGTTGACTTGAATGAATCACTGGGAAGCCATCCACAGGAAAGGCTGATGAGCTTGAGGGAAAGGGAAGGGCTTTATGTTCCTCTTGTTTGGACCCACTTGGCATGGAGAAAGAGGCTCATTTTTCTAGTCCCTTGAATCAGAAAAAAAAAAAAATCAGGATTCTGGAAAGATAACCAATAGGTTCCTCCCAGGTGGAACAGAGACAAGGTAAAATAAATAGCCTAGAGAGGGAAGGCCCGAAACGTTTGTGGGGGGAGGTGGTGAGTTTCAATAGTCTACTCACATCACTGCTTTCTGATACTAAAATCGCTGTTTTGAAACTTTAAATTGCTTGTGTAGCAATACGCACTTTAAACAATTTGGGTATTGGAATGTAGTATCATTGAGAGTAGAAACCACTGATGAAGATTTTATAAATCGTGCAAAGCTAATTTCCCATTTGGCGGTCATTTATTGATTTATAGTGATGACTATTTTTGTGAGAATTTTAACTAACCAAGACTTGCTGTGAAGGCAACAGCTCCATCCAGACACGTCCCACTCTGTGCTTCAGGGGCCCGGGACAGGCCTTCTGACTGGCTCAGCAGAAGTGGCTGCCCGGGGAGGCCTGGGAGGGGTCTTCCTGCACCCATTTGGTGGCTGGTTGTTAACGCAGAGCAAGCTCTGTTTGGGATGTAAATTGACTGAAATCTTCTGGGGATAAAGAAGCAAATGCATCTAATGGAATGGGTGCACTCTGTCCAGGAGAATAATCCGACTGGCATTTGTGGTAGTTTCTGAAATGTAAATGTATTCATGTGTGTGTGTTCTTGTAAATAGTGTCTCTCAAAATGTCCTTTGAAACGGGAGGGAATCAGCCCGGGGATTATTTCAAATGGAATAGAGTATTTTGATACCGTTCATTCAGAGGGTGATGTGTACATATCTATATTGTATATATGTGATGGAGATGCATCGGCTTTTCGTGCACACACTCTGCGCTCTGTACTGCTGTTGGACAGTCAGTGTTTTAATGTTTCTACAGTTTTGCTATTGCACGATTTCATATTTTGCCTCTATGATGAACGGCACCCATTCTTTGTAACTGTTTAGTGCTGTAAAGAAATATTCCAAGTGTCATTAGGATTGTTGCTGCCAGACCTGATATGCATGAATGGCACTTAAAATAAATATAATATGTTAATCCATAATGCTTTTTGGTCTGTGTTCTTTGTTGAGGAAGCAAGACTGGAATTGATTCTGGTGTGGAAAGCCAGTGGGCCGTCTTTGGGGTCTCCAGAGTGGCGTTTCGGTATTGCTGCCTGAGAACAGTAATTACTGTCACTTATTGAACTAGCTGGATAAACTTGGGGAAGTTATTTGATTTCCTAGTTTCATTTTCCACATTTTCAATGCCTGTAAAATGAGGACATTCATAGCTACTTCCTGGAGTTGTGGGATTAAGTTAATGTGTGTTAACATTCAGCACAGTGCCTGGAATAAAAAAAAGAGAGAGAGAATCCCACATATGCACGTAGTGTGCGAAGCAGATTGTAATGTCCTCATCTTACAAATTGGGAAGCAGCTAAGCTCGAGGTACAGTGCTGAGATGAATCTGGGTTAATTCCAGTGTTGTGTTCTAGTATTTAAATCATCCTGTATTACTTTGAAGGGGATTCCCGTATCTCTAGTCCTACCCTTACCCCATTTTATATCCAGCACTGTCTTCCCACAGAGTTGTTTGTAAAAAGTAGTGGTGGAACTGAGGGGGCACGGGGGGGGGGGGGGGGGGGGAGTATGGAGGTCACACCCAACAGCGTTCATGGTTTACTCCTAGCTCTGCACTCTGGCCTTCTGGTGGACCTCAGGGAACCACGCCAGGGATAGAACCTGTCTCGGCTCTGTGCCAGAGAAGCGCCTTCGCCACTGCACTCTCCACCTATGGTGAAACATCTCCGCATTTGCTGAGTCAGGCCTCCTATCAGAAACTCAGAGCCATACCGTCTGCCTTCAGAGGCGCAGATCAGATCGCAACACCAAGGAAAGTGCCGCAGGGCTACTCTGAAGATCAACCTAGCAAGGCAAGATTCTGATGGTAAGGAGTAGGTCATGCTGAGGACTGGGGCAGTGGTTGAGGAGAGCCGCAAGTTGGGTAAGACCTATTCTGGGTAGCTCGGAGAGGAAAGGAATTCCCACTTACACCACGGTTCTGAAGCCTAGAAGCCAGAATGGCTGGAGGGGAAGTGGTGGGTTACAAGGAGAGAACCATGCCAGGGGAGACTGCAAGTGCCTTGGAAACACACAGAAGCAGGACCCACAAGGCTGGTGGAAGCAACTGAAGGCTGCACTTAGGTCACTCAAGAAGGTAAGAGTTTCCCCACGCACCAAGGCCTCTCACTACTTGTAACTTAACACATCGAGTGCCAGAACTACCTAGATATTGCAGCTTGGGAAATGGATCCAAGGGCTGGAGCACATGCCCTGAGCCCTGTCCCCGGCACCTCAGCACTGCAGGATAGGACGAGAAGGGGTGTGAGGGTGGATAAAGTCTACACATCGCAGTTTTACAGATGGGGAAACTGAGTCCCCAGAAGGGCCTAAATTCTTCAATCTGGTAGAGAATCAGGAGTAATTCGGTCTGAACCTGAATCCTAAACCGACTCCGTGCTATTTGAGTGCCACTGAATTGTACCATTTAGCTAACCAGATGAAAAAAATTATATAATGCCTAATTCCCAGTGCTTTTGATATGTTAGCGTGCAAGGAACTACTGACTGATGTGCTCTGCAAGCTGGATAAAAAGTTCCTGGAAGCAGAGATGGTGGAATGTAGGGCACTTGTCTTGCACACAACTGACGGGGTTTTATTTCCTGGCACCACATATAGTCACCCAAGGTATGGCCAGGATTCATCCCTGTCTGCAGAGCCTGAAAATAAGCTGAGTAGAGCTGGGTACCACCAACCACCCCTGCGCACACACACAACACAACACACACACACACACACAAAGTCCTGGGAAATCTATATAAGCATCAGTAAGCACCAGTCAGAATTGAGGATAGGTTAACTGCATCTGATTACCCGGAATCAAAACACGGTACTATCCTGAAAGCTTCAAGAGGGGCCTTAAATCATGTAGCAAAATGGTACTGGGCTCAAACCCCACACAGCCACAGGCAAGCCACGCTCTACCAACTAGACATCTCTCCAACCTGAAAGATTAAAAACCAGTCCATAACTATTATTTGCTTCATACCTCTCTACATGTGTGTGCCCTGTATATTATTCGAATGGATAGTATTCATGTGTTCTGTACAGCTCTTTGAATGCAAACTAGCTAACTTCAGTGACAGACCATAGCCACGAGCTGGGAAAATGACCCTGTTAGGCTTATCAAGACAAGGTGTGTATAGCCCTGACATGGTTTCATTTCTGATGGGTTTAAAGTAATTTTGAACGTAAGCTTCCTGTCTTACCCTGAGTGTGATATGTGACTAATCACACACTTCGTTTTGGCTACCTCAGAGTCAAATCCCAGCCCCAGGGCTGTCATGCAGCCTATTGGGCAGTGCTGACTCCAGAACCACAGACACCTGCCATTTATTGTTGACTTGAAGCAGTGATACAGATCATAGGTATCTGTCAAAGACGCTGCACGACTTTGCAAATGGAGATTCGGAGCCACAAGGAAAATAAGTCACTTGTCTGGGTCAATACAGCTTTCGTCAGTGGTCCTGGTAATAACAATGGAGCGATAGCACAGCAGTAGGGCGTTCGCCTTACAAGCGGCCAACATGGCCGACCCGAGTTCGATTCCTCCACCCCTCTCGGAGAGCCCGGCAAGCTACCGAGAGTATTCGATATGCCAAACACAGTAACAACAAAGTCTCCAATGGAGACGTTACTGGGCCCGCTCGAGCAAATCGACGATCAACGGGAGAGCCTTTACCTTTACCTTTACACAGTAGCATCAGTAATAGCAGCAGAGCTAGTGTTTCAGGCCCAGGCATTCAGTTCCCAGTGTTTCCTGAGCTGTCTGGTTCCTGGGTGAGTTTCCCTGCATTGCCAGGCGGATACGCCTTCAGGCCCAGCAGAGGCTGCAGTGAGCACCAGAGGCCACGAGAGGGCAGAGGGCTGCCAGCTTTCCTCTGGCGGGTTTCACTGGGCCTTTGCAGCTCAGTGTTCTCTAGAACGCTGCTTGCAGGGTCAGCGTTGGTGGGGCGTCCTCCAGGGCTGCCTCTGACACCTGCTCCAAGGTGAGACTGGGGGAGGGTGATTTCAGCCCCATCCCCACACTTGGTCTCTCGGCATCCTAGAACCAGCGATGTCGGGGATGAGCATGGTTGAAGCCTGTGTGGAGAGAAGGCTGGGTGGGCCACACAGCCTGCCCTGGCCCTCCAGCATATGTTCCTGAGCTGGAGTAGGTCTTTCCATTTGACCCCTGCAGCCACTGAATGCAGCCACTCAATGCCACTTCTTGCTGGGGCCTTTGCCTGGTACCTGGCAGTGTTTTCGGCATTCCACACCCAACGGCCTTGTGAGGCTGCCGGCCTTATCTCCCTTTTTCTGTTATCACTCCGAATGAAGTCATTTGCCCAAGGTTACAGTCAGAGGTTGGAAGCAATTGGGGAACCCACATCTGCATGCCCGCTCTTTCTCAACACTCCCCAGTGTTGACCTTGAACCCCCCATCCACCACTCAGGGCCAGACACCACATCCACCTCACCCCACCCAACCTGAGCTGACGTCACTGGGTGAATGACAGTCTTCTCACACGTTAGCCCCCAAAGGTCAGAGAGACAACTTCCTGTTTCAGACAATGGCAATAAAGGCCACCGAGGACACTTCCCATCCTTCCTAGCCCTGGGTGACATCCATAGGCCGGGGCTTTCCTGGGAACGGTTGCCCATTGTGTGGGAGTGCTCGGACTCTGCCTCTGTGTGGGTGCGCCTGTCCGTCCTGATCCGAGTGGCCAGAGGTCATGATGCGTTGGGTGCTGTAGAGAATGTGCCCCAGCAAGCCTTGTGTGCGAGACTGGGAGAGTGCTGTGTGTGGCCTGTGCAGGCCATGAGGTCTACTCCTTGGCAACTGGGACTGGGCCTTGGCGGATCTGTGTGTTCTCCTGAGAGAATCAATCGGCCACAAAGGTTGGGGGGAAGGAAATGGCTCCCACTCATTTCTGCCTTCCACCCTCAGCTTTTTTTTTTCAATTTTTATTTAAATTTTTTTTTAATATATCACCGTGAGGTACAGTTACAGGCTTACAGACTTTCGTGCTTACGTTTCAGTCATACGATGATCGAGTGCCCATCCCTCTACCAGTGCTCGTTCACCACCAGTGATCCCAGTATCCCTCCCACCACCCCTTACTCCCTTACTCCCACCCCCACTCCCACCCCCGCCTCTGGCAGGCGCATTCCCTTTTGCTCTCTCTCTCCTTTACACCCTCAGCTCAAGTCACTGTTTCCACCTCCCCTGCTCCAGAAGAGCCCGTGTCTGGAGACACGCTTATCAGGAAGGGATCTGGGGTCTCAGAACGACCAGGGGTAGACTCTGGGTGTCTGAAGCAAACAGATGCTTCCCTTTCCTCCCATCCCTAGCTGGGCTTTTCAGCTCTTCACCACCGACTGCAGCCCCGGGAACTGTGTCCCTGATCTCTCCATCCCTGCTCCTGCTCCTGCGCTCCTCGGAGTACCTGACCTGGCCGGGCTTCTTTCCTGCAGGTCCCCAAGGCCAGAAAAATACACCATCGGTGGAAGCAGCACTGGCCATGGGGTCAGAAGCATCTTGAATAACATCTGAGAGTAACCATCCCTTCTCTACCTTGCAGTTTCCTCGTCGGAAGAATGGGGGTGTGGTGCCTGCGTGAACAGGGAGAATGGGAGCAGCCAGCACGGCCCCTCCTGCATCCCCAGGACAGGATGCCTTCCCACGCTGCTGCTCGCTTGACTCCTCTGTTGCTGTGTTACCGAGACCAGTCGCCTCCCCTGCACCCCTTCCTTCTCTCCCAGCCCTCCTGGGCCCTGGTCAGGAGCGCGCCCCTTCTCTCCTCGCTCAGACGGCCAGAGCTAGCTGGTCCTCTCTCCCATCTCTAGATCACAGCCCCCTCCACTCCGAACCCTGGGGCTTCCTTTTCCTACCAGGTACAGGCCCAAAGACCTCCAGTTGGCAGCTCACCCCTGCGGGGGCTGCTTGTT